GATCACTCCTACCCCATTTCTCTTCCTGTCCACACCATAATAAAACAGTTTGTATCCCCCTCCAATGCTACGCACTTTGCTACCCTTCCACCTGGTCTCCTGCACACACAGTATATCTACCTTCCTTCTCTCATCATGTCCGCCAGGTCTTTACCTTTCCCTGTCATTGTGCCAACGTTAAGAGTCCCTATTCTCAGACCTATACTCCCGCCTTTCCTCTTCTCTCTCTGTCTACGAATCCTTCTACCTCCTCTCCTTCTTCGACCAACAGTAGTCCAGTTTCCGCCAGCACCCTGTAGGTCAACAGCACTGGTGGCGGTCGTTGTTAACCTGGGCCTCGACTGATCTGGTATGAAGTTCACACTGATGATTCGCATGTTTAAATTTGACATGTTTTTATGCCGGTTGCCCTTCCTGACACAACCCTCTCTATTTATCCGGGCTTGGGACCGGCACAGAAGTCACTGGCTTGCAACCCCTGTGGCTAGATTGGACTATAACATGTCAGTATTTGCCATTACTTTGTATTTTTTTAAGTAAAAAATAAATAAAAGGTTAACGAGTAACTTTTGTTTCAGTCACAGATGGATGGAAACCAACATTTTAAGTTCCACCACAATCATTCAGAACAGCTTAATGCTGCCATAGATAGTCTCTAAGCGTGTGGATGAACACCATTCTTTCAAAAGATATTCCTTCAGTCGATGTCTTGATGATGCTGGTGGAGACACTGTCTAACACGTCAGGCCAGTATAGGTGTTCGACTGGGTTAAGAGCTGGTGACTGCGAAGGCAACAGCATATGATTTACATAATTTTCATACTCATCAAAGCTGTGACCTTTCTGATAGACTGCATTGGTTGTTTCTACAGTCATGTCCTGGATTCATGCTTACTGGTGTGTGTATAGTGCACTTTAATAAATATAGATCAGTGTATAACTGAAAAAAATATTAGTCTGATATCACCACAAGATGTTAACATGGCTAATCAATGCTAAAGATCATTGCTGGGCTGCCAGCACCATGGTTAGAGTCACAGTACTTGAATGTGATATTTTAGGACTCTTTCCAAATGTAACCAATGCAAATGCAGTGAGATGAGTCTTCATGTATGTCTCAATTTGTGTTTGTGTGGAGAGAGAGTGAGACAGAGCTATGTGTGGACAATGGATCACTGTTTGTCTCAAATAAGCTCTGTCCAGGTTTTCTGTTATCTCAAACTTGATTCATCATCCATTGCAAGATCTGTAGAACACGTTAGCAAGAAATCAATTCCCATTTCCCAGAAGTGAGACGTGTAGGCTTTCTCCTATGGGCCTGATTTAGCCAGACATAGCCTTTAATCTCCCAGTGTATTTGATTGGACAGTTTTCCCTCTGTAGAGTGTTTGTTGAAGGCCTTGATGCAATCCTTCTGGTAAAACAAGCATCCCAACAGCCGGTGCAGGGCTCTTAGCACCCCCACCCCCTGCCAGAATTCATGCTCTTTCTCTCTCTCTCTCTCTCACACACACACACACAGAAACACAAACTCACCTCTCGTTGCATGCTGGCCCTCTCAGCACCATGATGAGGCTCTAATTGCTAAACAGATGTTAATTGGTTTTTGCACCTAGAGAAAAACCAAACACGCAGGTACACATGAGCTGTTTATGTTCTTTAATAAACAGCCTTCCAGGCAGACTAAGATCTGTCTTTGTGTAATTATGGACCATATTAAGTGTATGCAAATTAAAAAATATCAACAATATTGCTGTGAATGCACTAAGGAACTGTATGCTTGTATCTTTAGGGAGACAGAGTATAAAGGCCTTCAGCTTTCTCTGGACCAGGCCACATCCAAGGCCTCTTTCCCCTACAACAGCGACACCACCAATAGCTTCACGGACAACTGCAGAACTCCCAAGAGCAGAATGTCCCGGCCCAAGACCAAAGCTAGACTCTCACCATACACACAGGTGAGGATTTAGTGTCTTACTGGACTGTCATTTAGCTTTGAAACACACCTGATCTGATGCTGACATATGAAAACAGTGCAGTGGTCTAAGCTAAGCTTCATATTTAGGTAGTGTTTCCTAGAAGGAGATTTCATGTTGTAGCTCATTCAGGTGTTGTTTTGATTTAGGGTCAGGCTGATTTTGAAGGGAACATACAGTGAGTGCTTCCTTAGCATTGTGTATTAAAATTCAGTTCTGATTTGTAGTCACTTGGGCGTTCTTACAGTTTTGCCAAATCATTTCAATCACTTATGATAACATTATATTCACCAAATAAATAGCTGAGATCTGGGAACATGTGATGGATGACCACTGCAGTGAATTATTAGATGATCTTCATTTGCAGGTAAAGCTGAATGTAAGCACACCAAAAATGTTGATAATAATTCCCCATTTCACAGGAAATCTATGTGCACACAACTGCTGCCAGTAGGCAATTTAAAGTAAAGCCATTGAAGAAAGTGTGATGGATGGTTCCAAATTACACTTAATAAGTTTTCTTTGGCTTTGTTTTCTCTGCCAAACAAGTTTGACTAGCATGGGGGTTTGTTTATAGCCTGTTTGATTGTCTGACTGCTCATGTTTTTGATGTGCTTATGAAATTGCTGCTGTATTCCCAGATCTTAACAATGTCTTTGTTGAGTGCCAATAGAAAAATTGGCCAAGCTAGTCCTAGCAGTGGTAAAGGTTAAGGTGCATACCACATACATGCAGTGTTCATTTGTTGCATGTTGTACCCCCATTGCTCTTCTTGTTCTTTGTCTTCCTCTGCATTGTGGCTGTTGAGGAAAGGTGAAGACACAAAAATAAATAAAAAGTAATTGTACAAAAATAAGTTCCAAGAGTAAATCAACCAGAATGATCATTATTGAGAACTGGATGCTTTGCTTCAAGATAGCAATCCATGCCTTCCAACTGAGGACACAGACTGAGTGATAACAATGAAAAATGTTATTTAAGCTTCTGCATTATGCTGCTCACACCATAGGAAGAACTATTTATGGGCTCAAGTGTGTCACATGACCTGCCATCACATTACCTGCTCCCACTATGACAAATTTGCTACAGCCTGGTACTTGGGTAACAGAATTAAGGAATAGGATAATAATCAGGATAATCACCTTTATTGGCCAAGCTGGTAAGGTTGCCCTTCAACCTGAAATGTTACATCAACAATAGGATATTCTACTTTATCCCCATGTATACAGCACACATCAACCCTCTCTTCACTAAACATAACATTTTTTGAAAGGGTATCTTTTCTAACAAAAGTGCGATTACTACCCGAGTCAAGAAGGGCTACGCAGGGTCTATCCTCAGTAAATACCCCTATTGTAAGCTCCCCCTGTTGTTTCTTTAACATGTCATCCCCTTCCAATTTAGATAAGTATGTTACACACAAGGAATTTGTTTCCAGTACAGAACTGATGGCAGCCATCTGCGGTGCCAACTCAACCAATGGCTCTAACCATCAGGGGAACAGGGGGGTTCAATGTCTTGCCCAAGGACACTTCGACATGTGGACTGCAGGCACCAAGGTTTGAGCCTTCAACCTTCCGGTTGGGAGACTACTGCTCTACCCACTGCACCACTGTCGCCTCCCAAAGAGGGCGGGAGAATTTTTTATAATCTCTTAACCAGTGTACCTGTATCCAAATTAGTCTCTTTTTCACCCAGTGTCAGCTGGCGTTGTCCTCCACCCATGAACCTCTACAGGATAAGCAGTATAGCTAATGGATGGATATGTGTTGTAGGATGACTAGCTCTGTCCAGTAGAAGAGGAGGTAGAAATATAGTAGTGCTAATATACTAAAAGCTAACATAATACTCCATCATCTCTTTTCTTATCCCCCCTAGCCACATTTCTCACTGCAGTATCCTAGTTTCCAGATGGCGCGGTCAGAGTCTGACCAGGACAGCCCATGGAGCAGCAGCCCCCTCACCGACTCAGCCTCCCCTCAGCTGCTGGAGCAGAGTGAAGGCCTAGATGGCTCCTGTGTGTACAGACAGTTCACTGATCCTCGCCCACTGTGCTACAGCCTGTCTGAAGAGCAATGTCACTCCACCAGCGAAGGCCATGCACATTTGCACACATATGGTCAAGGTCAGAGTTGTGAGCGGGGTCGATGCGAGGCAGGGCGATATTTTCTAGGAGCACCACCGGCCAGCAGGAGCGCGTGGTGGGATACTACCCGGTCCATCATTCCACTGAGCAAGAGCTCCTTGGAGAACCATGAGGGATTTGATAGCAGCATGCCACATATCACAGCCATCCACAGCTACCACGGTGAGGACTAAAACCTGGGCCATGTCCACTGTAGTCACTGAACTATGTGGGTTGTTGAAACCTTGATAGTTTTAGAATGAATTTGCTGATAGCTGACAGCCAGTATTCTGCACTAATAATGTACCTACTCTATATCCATAGCTCCATTTTATTAAAGGTGTTTCTTGTAAGACTGGAGTTGTTGACTGGTAGCTCTGTCTCAGTCCAAAACAGTCCTTTGTGCTCAATACAGTTAACACTCACTCCCTGCATTACATGCTGCTGTGGTCCCATGTACTGCAATCTCAGATTTAGACTTGGCCTGTGTCAGTGCACGTATGGGAACACTAGCACCTGTAATTCGTAGACCATTGCATAGCTGTTGCATACTTGTGTGAACATTAGCATTCTAACTAGAAGGTTCTCAACACCAAAGTACAGAGAAGAAGAAGTCAGGAAATGTTAATGGAAAACATTTTGAGCCAGGCTCAAAGCTGTTACATTTTTCATCCTAGAACTGGTATTTTGCCACTTTATTAAGTGTTGGTATTTTTTTCAGACTAGTTAAGTAATGCCATTTTTGGACGTGTGAGTACCTGCTAGCAGACCAATAGCAGGCAGCTACATCTCAGTCAGAGCTGAGTCAAATCAACCCATCAGTGTGCAAGACATGCAGCTCTGCACAACATGTAGTTGAGATTTAGGATGTGTGCACGTCGGACCATCTTCAACCATCAGTATCCAGTGTTTACCCATAAACTCCTTTGCTGCACAGGTATGCTTGATTTGATTTGATTTGGTTTATTCTTTCAAGCATGTAAAGACAGTTAATATGTCAACACACATAATTTTACACATATCCAACAAATGCTAATCCAATATCAATTTGCTTATACCTAGTACATGCTTGAATGGAGTAGGAAGAAGTCAGACTTATCCAGTCCTACCCCATGACATCATCTTACATCATTGGTTTGCAAGCAGTA